GCGGAATTTGGTTCCGCAGGCATCTCACTGTTCATATCAAATTTCTTGCTGTAATTGATCAGATTACGTAAAATTGAAAATTTTAAATCATACTAGACACAATAAAGATTAAAAACCCTAATTATTGAACTCATTTTGTTCAAAATATGCCGTGAAATAAATCAAATGGCGGAAAAAAAAAAAACCCAAAGTTCTTACCTGTTTTTGTGAACGGAAGTCTTCAATCTCCAAAAAACTCTGTTTTTCTCAACGATTATCACAAATTAGTAACAAAATCTTTTGATTCACAGCTGTAAGATCAATATGCCTATAAATTTTGAAAGATTCATGCCCTATTTGGCATGAAATTTCAGAAATGGCGGAAACCCTAAACCCCGAATTTTTCTTGATCAAAAAAACAACCAAATTTTCCACCATTTAATCCTTGAAAAATCTGAATAAAGCTGTTTACAGCCTGAAAAACAGATCACATGCCGAAAAAAACAAAAAAAATGATCAAAAAATGACAAATTTGAAAAAATCCGTGAAGAACACTGTGCAACCCGTGTTCTTCACGGACTCGCCGATTCCGCACAGTGAATCGGCGAGTCACTGTGCGGAATCGTCCGGTTCTCTCTAGAACCGGACGATTCCCGGTTTTTGAACCGATCCGGTACCTTTTTCGTGAATTCCGAGTCGAACCGGGCGAGTCCGGTTTGACTCGGCGATTTTTTAAACGCTGGTGCAATGTATTGGACTCTCTAGGGAAGACACTGTGTATCTCCTCCCTTGCTCAAAACTCTTGCCACAATTTTTGTAGTATAAAATTTCGAGAAATACGTAATAATTGTTAGATGATTATTTAAAAAATAAAAAAATATTTTTTAAGTTTTTTGACATTAGATCTAGCCCTTCAAAAATTGAATAGTCTCTATGCAATCTTAAGGCATCATGTTTTTTAGTATATAAAGAGTTTATTTTGGAAATTTATTTTTAGATTATTCTATGAATGGCAAAGATTATATCCTCAAAATGTAAGATCCAAAACTTATCCACAACATGTGATTTGCTCAACGGAGGACATGGATAGCATACACCCTAAGGAGGAGGAAATCTTTTAGCTTAATTTTTTTCTCATTTTCAGCTATTCCAACTTACGATCGCATTATTTTATTTTGATTTTTGAAGTTAAATAAAACTATGGGAAAAATGATATTTCATCTATTTTGATAAATTTCTCTTATTTATCCAGATAATTAAGTTATAAGAATCAAACATGGGATATTATGTTGCAAGTAGTGATTGAAAACCTCAATCCGACATGCGTTGGTTGCTCAGGAATCTAGTTTGGATCAACAAATTCGCAGTTACAAATAAGTGGATTGGCCGGTTTAGGTTTTTCTGGCCCTAAAAGTTTCAATTTTTTTAATAAATTTTTTTAAAATCTAGTTTTTTATGTTTCCAAAAATACCATAATAATATAATTATATGCATGATAATAATAATAATAATAATAATAATAATAATAATAATAATAATAATAATAGTTTTAATAATAATAATAACAATAACTATTATTGTGATATTTGAAGATAATTAATTAATAAAAACTATTATTGCGATATTTGAAGATAATTAGTTAATAACACTATTATTGGGATATTTGAAGTTTAAATTATCTATGATAATTTATTGATAAATTAATGTGATATAAGATAGTAAATTAATAATATGATTAATATAAGTGTAACAAATATTATTAATATCATATTAATATTAACAAAGTACTAATAATATTATTATAAAAATGATACTAGAATATATTAATAACAAACATCATAATTACATAATAATATGCATAATGGTAATTTATTATTATATATTATTCATAATAATAATAATAGTAGTAATAATTATTATTATAATAACAATAATAATAATAATAATAATAATAATAATAATAATAATAATAATAAAGAGAATTATACAATGAGGCCATTTACTTTTGGTACAAGGTGGTCACAATTAATCTTGACCATTGGATATGAAATTTGATGGTTGTATTTATTTTATTGACCAAGTACAAATTTTAAAATAATTTTTTTCAAAGTTTGTAATACATCTAAACTATCAAATTTCACATTGGATGGTTATAAATAATTGTCACATCCTTATGTGAAAGGTAAATAGTCTCGTTATATATAATCCTTAATAATATTATTATTATTGTTTTTATTATTATTATTACAATAGTTCGACTGCTTTGTGTGTAGAGCTATTTCTTGAGCTGTCTCTTGAGATTGAAATTTCATCTTCAGTTGTGGTATCCATAATTCCATATGATTGATCAACGTGAAAATGGATTTTCCAAAAATCTTTTCTAGGCATCCAAATGGGGCCTTAGACCTCCCCCGAGTTTCAGGTGAGTCAGTCAAGGAACCAAACGATCTGAATCACCTGACTTGCACCCATTTTTTTATTGAGTAATGATCTTATAGGACCTTCTCCCATTTATATGTGTAGGACCTCAAGGGATTACCATTAGAGTTGATACAAATTTCTAGAAAAGTTATCATATGGGTATGAGACTTGATTTTCCAATAGATCGACTTATGTGTATAGCACTCTAAAGGATTACCATTAAAGTTGGTGCGGATCTCTAAAAAAGTTATCACATGCATGTTAGACTTTTTTTTAAAAATCTATGCCAAATTCAATGGTGATCCTTTGGAGTCCTACATACATAGGTGGGAGAAGGTCCTATAGGATCACTTTTCTTTTTTATTTTCAATTAATTTTTTTTTCCTTAATCAAGAGCTACTAAAATTTTATTTCAATTAATTTATTTTTCTTAATTAAGAGCCACTAATGTTGCCCTTAGAAAGAAGTTGATCTAGTCATTCACTGAATTGTAAGGGCATCAGCTTCTCAGCCAAGATCCAACATTTTTGGAATCTTTCACAATATCAGGAAAATAAAAAAAATCGTTATTAAGGAAAGTCATGATCCACAAACAAAATAAACGGCCAGCAATTTTTCATAAATAGAAAGAAATCCACATCAATTTACTCAATTTGATTTAATTAATATGAAGTTTAAATGAGCACCAAATAGTCACGGAAAATAAGGGATATATTAATACATTCTCAGACGCCCTGGTTCAGATGCTGCCGCTTTTCTCTCTCTCTCGAACTGCTCCTGTTTCTCTCTCTAAAAAGAATCATAAGCGCTTATTATTACCCTTTTTCAGGTTTCTCTCTCTACAGCTCCTGCGTCCACTCTGTCTATTCAACGGGTTCTGTAGTAACTAGTCTCTCTCTGTGACTGTATCTCTCTTTCTCTCTCTAAGGGGCTCCTCGCAACTGTGCAAGGATCTCTGCTTTTGACTTTTGCGGTCCTTCTCTCCATCTCTAAATAGAACACCGGAAACTGCGGGGAGAAATGATGGCTTAGAACCAACAATTCATTATGAGAGAGAGAATAAATAAATGGGGGATTGGAGAATAGTGAATTTTAGCCTGTTTTGCTCTTCAGGCTCATGGTGAAGAGTGTTTCTCATACTACATTGGCTGAAAGTACTGATTTTTTTCAGGTTTGCTTGCTTTTGGTTTTTTTTTATTTTTGGGTAAACTTCGGTTTTGGATTTGGGTTATTGTAAATGAAGCTGGTAGTTTTGCTTGACTGAAAACATTGATTTTTACAGGTTTTTTCTGGGTTATTCTTGATAAAGTTTTGGTTTTGGGTTTTTGCAGATGAAGATTGGAGATTTGCATGCTAATTGAGCTGGTGATGTTGATTAATTCTCATGATGCGAAGTATTAGACCCCCAGTAACCAAGCAGGCAACCACACTTTTGGTAAGCTTTGCTGACATTTTGAAACAATTCAAGTACGTTTTTTTTTTTTATTTGTTTTTAAACTTTGTGATAAGATCATAAAAATAACTCCTGTTTTCTGAAATTTAATTATAACCTTCTAAAATCCATAACACCAGAGTAGTAACACAATTTTCCTTTTTTTCTTTTATTCTAAGTGTTGTGCTTGTCTTTTTGCTTGTTCAATTTCCTTGTCTGTTTTACATTTCGAATGCTATCCAAGTAGCTATGAATCCTTGATTTCCAGTTCTGGGTATTATATGTCAGCTTTTCTCAAGCTCTTTCTTTCCTTTTTTTTCTTTCTCAAAAGGCTTTTCCTTTTAAGGTACTACTGAGTATGTTAGAATTATTTATTATTTTTAATCTTTCTCGTGTATACCTTTTTTGGGGTGAATTTGTTAGGCTTAGATTTCTATCCTGTAATTTATAAGTGGTGCTCAATGTGAACAACTTTGTTCGCGGTCAAATATTGGAATGTATAAAACATTTGGAATTTGAATTATAATTTTATTTATTCATTTTTCTTCTTCTAATCACAGGTTGCCCTGAAATGTCGACCTTTGACAGGGGCAGCGCGGCGGAAGAGCCGTGATATCATTAGAGTGATCGATGACAAGGTGGGTGTCATGGTTTTCTTTTTTGCATGGGCTTGAGCATTGCTTGGTATCATGCTTTTTTTTTTTTTTTTAAAGATCTTGGGATTCATATTTATTTTTAGGGAATCATATTTACCTTTGATACAAGGTGGTTACAATAATCTTGACCATTGGATGTGAAGTTGGGTGGTTGCAATTATTCCATTGACCAAGCTCAAACTTCAAAAAAAAAATTCTCAAACTTTGTGACACATCCAAGCTATCCAATTTCACATCAAATGGTTGTAAGGAATTGTGACCACCTTGTACCAAAGGTAAATGGTCTCATTATATATAATCCCTTGTTTTTATTATGATAGAAGGAAATCAGATTTTCCATTTTTTTTTTTCCTTTTATCCCTTGTCTGGTGTAGAGTGTTCTTGTTTTGGACCCTGACCTGTCAAAGGACTACCTTGATCGCATCCAAAATCGAACAAAAGAGAGGAGGTATTGCTTTGATCATGCATTCGGGCCTCAATGCACAAACAAGGTATATTACATGCGGTGTTTGGAGTTCCCTTTTGTTATTTTTCATGTTATTTTTGTCTCCTTGTAATCCCTCATTTTCAGATATTTAATCTCCTTTGTCTGCTTCCATTTAATGTAGAAAATAAGAAGAAAACAAGATACAATTGGGGATAATAGCAATTCATTCTAGCGTCAGTTTATTGATAATTTCATTGGCTATCGTGGATAAAGCATATGTGACCATATTAGGCATTCAAATCTTAACCTATTAAGTGAACATCTGGGCCCGAATCAATCATATCCCTAACTAGAGTTTTTTTTTTTTTTGAAATGTTTACAATATATATTAATTATTAAGTTATTATTAATTACGGCTATGACATGAGATAATTGTCCAAATAACATATGCAGTGGTGGTCTTCTTTTGTGATCAGCTTGGGAGCCATTATTTACTTTTGACTGATTTATGACGGGACCCAATCTCTAATACTTTTGGAGGCTCATCTATTGCCTCTTGTTAGCAGTATAGAAAGATTCAAGTTGTTTAGCCCCATAGGAGAGTCTAAGCATTTGGAGATGAATGAATGGTGTGATGTGGGAGTTTAGATTGTTGTTTCCATTGTGCTCCTAGAAATCCTAGAAGTTGCAAAAAACAAGTGCAAAATGTCTGAAGGGTTGATATTTTGGAGAGCATCCATAGGTCACCAGGTTCATTTTGTCGCTATAACAATCACAAAATATGCATGAGATTAAGCTAACCTATTGATATATTAAGTTGTTGCTCTAGATGGAAAAATTATATCTCAGAAAGACAGAGAGCTTTCAATCAATAGGTGACCTTCTCATTATTCTTTCTGTCTTTGGGATTCAAGTGGTTCTTTAATCTAGAAAGTATTTCTTTGTAGTGATCACTGATCAATAAAGTATGGTGAGACCAGTAAAAATATCGCGAGAGACTTGGTTAAAATTGGCAATGATAGTGACAATGCTGTTGCTGATAATTGCTGTCACATTGAAGATTATTGGGTTCTATGAATTCTTACAACACGGTGGATCCATAATAGTTATGATGTTCAACAACTTGAACTTCAAGCAGCTGAAATATATACAGGGAAGTGCACACATCAGCATCTTCTAATAATTTTATTCTTTCAAGGGCCTTCATGAGGTACAGGGTATTGGAAGTGCTGCTCATCTGAATCTACGCATAGATAATGTACTGGAGCTTCATCTATGAAAAAAATCCGCGAGGGTCCAAAGATGTACAATATGTTCTTAAACCATCTAAATGGCAGATACATTGATGTACCTGTGGTTGTTGATTCTGAGGTACTTCCCTTGGTCTATAACTAAGCCAAGCATTTACTCTTCCATTTAACTGCCAAAAAAAAAAACATATATTGACACTTAGAACCAACGTCTAATGATTTATACTGCCTATGACATATATAATCGTCAAAATTCCAATTGATTAATTAAAACAAGTCATCATCATTATCATCATAATAGCCTTTTCCCAATTAATTGGGGTCGGCTACATGAATCCTGGTCCATCATCTTGCTCTATTAAGGGTCATACCCTAAGTGAGGCCAACTTTATATCCCCTCAATCTCCAAAATTGAAATACCTAAAGAAAATGAAAGAAATAAGGGGACATTGCAACATTTCCTCCCCCTTAAAATCGACATTGTCCTCAAATTCGTATAGATAATCAAGCTTGTCCTCAAGATCGTGTACATAGATTATTATCGTATTTTATAGATAACACTAACAAGTTGCACCCTTGATGCCATATTAGTCCCCTGCCTCAACTGTCTCTCCTGAATTTTCTCCTTCATCCGACCAATTCCCCTTCATCAAGAATAACTGTTCGGATTTGCAGCATTGTCTTGCATTGTACTTCTCACTATTGTTGTAATAATTCCCTGTCGCATCATTCTTTCATCACCACTGAAGTAAGATGCCTAATGGTTGGGGTTGTGGACTAGGGTGTTGTGGCCAAACTAGAACTTGAAAGTACGCTGAGATGGAGAGCCCGTCAAGGAGTCAGAGGTTAACTTATTATTTCCTTAGGGTGCAAGTAAGAGTATATAATCGATAGGAGTATCTTTATGGTGTCCTTTTGACAAAAAATTCCTTTGAACGGGAGAAAATTGTTTGCTTTCTGCAGCAAGGTTTGATTTGATCGGCCTTGTTGTTCAACAGTAGTATAGGAAAGTATTGGAAGATTAAAATGAGTTCCTAAGATTGCATTGGTCATCTCTTATAGTTTAGATTTTAGAAGGATTGTGTGAAGCTCTTACTTAAGTAAACAACATGACCCAACTGCTATCAGTAACAGATGAGACTACTATGCAGTGCATAAGTTATTTACTTCTGAATATTGTTCTTTGATTGTCCTCAATTGCATTATAATAATTGGTTTTCGTATTGTTATGAAATAAGAAAGATTTCCGGTTGCCTTCCCCTATCATGGTTTCATTGTTAGATTGTGTTTGCTAATTTTTTTTGTTCTTTTGAAAATTTGTCCATGATCAAATTGTTATTTATTTGGATGCACTTCCCTCAGGATGTCTATCAGAAGAGCATTTCTTCTACAATTGCAGGAGTTGTTCAAGGTCTCAATGCCACTGTGTTTGCATATGGGTCAACTGGAAGGTATGATTATAATAGTGTGGAGTAGGCTAACTTTTAACCTCATAGTACTCCATGGTTTGGTTTTTATTTTGTTTTTTTTCTGGGATGGTGTATGATCTGAGAAACATGGGGTCATTCAATTTTAAGTGATATGCTGCCTCTTCTCCAGATTCTGTTGTACCATTGTAAGCTGGAATATCCACTTCTATTGGAATATTGACATCCTTCCTAAATATATTGAATCATAATGCTCTATAATAACCTATGATGCCCTGTTGCATAACTGTAAACCACTGGTGCAAATGTAAAATGATAGGCTGGATTCAAAGCATTTCAGTTTGGTCTGCCCTTGATTTATCCTAGAGCATAGGATGGTACTGGTTAGCTAATTGGCATATGCCTCTACTAAAACATTGAGTTGGGAATGTGCGTTTATCAAAATCTGGAATTCTTATTAATGTCATTGCTTCAGATGATCATTGCTACATTCATATATGCAACATTTGTTTTGTTAAGTTCTTCATGTTGTACTGAAGGCAAGAACTGCAGGTGAATGTCTACCAACAAGCAAATAAGTTTTGGTAGTCACTGTGATGTCTTCACAATAGACAACTTAGTATTGCTCTCTTAGTGAAGCAACATGGGTTTATATTAGAATTAATATATGTTTGTGTGCGTGGCCGTGTGGATATGTGCATGTCTATTTGTGTCTTATTTGGGTGAATATGGGGTAGCTAGTTCCGTCAGAAAGAAAAGAAAAAAATTTAAACACAAGCGATGTAGATTCCTGCCTGTAGCCCAAAAACCCTTAATGAATCATAGAATGCATTTGGTTCTTATCAAGGTTTTACAAGTTAGATGTTCCTGGTTCTCTCAGTTTTCAAATATGTAGGCTTGTCAACTGATCCCATGTCTGATACAAACTTTTATAGTTGCAAAAAATAAAAAGAACTTGAGGTTTTTATCAAGAGAACCAACTGGTTTCAGGCTTGCATGTTAGGGTGTGAATTTGATACATGATTCCATGCTTTAAGAATTTAAATGCTGAGGCTGAACTTCTCGTCTAAAGGCTTGCACATCACTCTGTTATCATTCATGTGCACGTATTTTATGTACGTACTCATTTTGGTATGCATGTTTGCATGCACACCTACACATTTTGTGCCTGTATTCTATGAAGCCACACACTCATACAATGTAATTTTGACTAAGAGTGCACCATATATATCCGTGCTTCCCTGAAACTTATAACTTTGTTCAATAGTTGGTTAGCCGTTTCAAGTTGGTAGCTTGAATGCTATGGATACATTTATTTGAGTTGGCTTTCTAATCCTCTTAATTATAACGAAACCCTGGGACCTATGGTTTTACATTTTCACCAGAAAAGAAGCATCAGAATAATGAATGAGTTAATTTTTTTTTTTTTTTTGTTAATTTGATACAAGGCTTGGAATTGGTTACTACATTACCTGAATTTTTACTATTGTGTAATAATCATTGTGCAAATCATTTTGATTATTACATGATTAGAGTTACCCCATTTTCTCCTTTGGGTTTCAAAGCAGATACTGTACTTGTCATTATTCCTAAAGATACTAGTTTGCTGTCATGTCTTGCTTCTCAGGTTTCTTGGTATGTAATCTTAGGGCACGTTTGTTTCTTGTGAAAGTGCTTCCTGTGGCCCTTGGGGAAGTTTGTTTTCTCAGAGAGCTTTCCTCTTAGCCTGAGAATGCTCTTTCACACCTAAATAGGTATGAAACCTTTTTTTCACAAAAATACATAGCTTTCCAAAAGGCTGAAAAGCGCTTTCCCAGCTTCTACAGTAACTACTGCTTTCCCAAAAACAAATCTGGGAAACCGATAGTCAAGATTCTTCTCTTGGAGCAAACGTGCCCTTGAAGTGCTTAGGTTCCTGCATCTATTACTCTCTCAACAAATAAATGCTTATAGATTTCTCAGTTTTCAAACTTAGAAGCATTTTATCAGTAACTTATTCCTTTGCATTTATTTCTAGTGGGAAAACGTACACAATGGTTGGAACTAAGGAGGATCCTGGATTGATGGTTTTGGGCTTGCACACAATCTTTGATTTAATTACAAAGGATAGAAGCTCAGATGAATTTGAAGTGACTTGCTCTTATCTTGAAGTCTATAATGAGGCAGGTTCTGAATCCATTGTGCCCCTCCAAATCTGGTTACCAATTAATGTGACGCTGTTATATTATGCCTAAGAATAGTTTCCAAAGACTATTTTCGTATTGCAGGTCATATATGACTTGCTGGATAAATCATCTGGGCATCTGGAGCTTAGAGAGGATCCTGATCAAGGTATAACAGTTGCAGGGCTCAAATGTATCAAGGTGATTTTTTCTTTTTCACTTTTATTTTGAGTTTTTCTAAATAAATTTATTTTTAATCTGGACTCCTATTTATGTTAATAAGTTTTCTTTATCACTGTTTCTATCTTTTCTTTGTGTTGGGATATCCTTGTTAACTTCATCGAAGGAGTATTTCCTTGAGTTGCAGGAAACAACTCGATTACTATTGCAGAATTGAAAATCTTTCAAATATTTCATTAATAAGAACAATAGAAAAAAAATATTAATAATCAAGTCATGTGCATCTGTGCATGCGAAATAATATTACATACCTTCAAGGCCTATGGATGCGAACCCAATTTTTTTATTTTGGTCAATCTCTCTTGCTTAAGATTCTGTCAATTGCTTTTCTGAATCCTGGATTAGAAATTTACCAACAAATATGTTCATCTCTCCATAAGTAACCAACGGCCTGTCTAGTTCACTTTTTGGGACTATTGTGATTACAACCTAAAGATATTGGATGTAATTTCTTGGATTTCCAATAGTCCAAACCAGTGATAGAAAACCCTGATCCACCGGGTAAATCTGTCATCCATGAAACTGGTATGGATTGACAAATTGGAGATCCAGTGCAGTGGATTAGCTGGTTTGGGCCAATCCAGTCTGAAAAAAATTTCAAAAACTTATTAAAAATCACTGTAAATGTTTTATGGGTTTAAAACAATGGGGTAATTGCATTATGAATTTTCATTCTTTTACAAAAATACGTGAATCTAGAAAGGTTTCTTCTTGTTTGAGTGTCTGTTGACTACTACATTCATTCTTGACTACTACATTCATTTTGTAGTCAAAATGGAGCATGCAAGTATCAAGAATATGAATACACGGTCCAAAAATGGAACATTCAATTATCAAGATACAACCTAGTTAAATCAAAGGATAAGCTGTTTAATTATCGTTTGAATGTTGATTTCGTTTGTTCAATAGTCAAGGCAAATCATTGATCTGGTTGATGCACGAGTCCGGGGGTTCAGACTCATTAGTATCTGCTGGCTGTATGAAAGTAGGGGCTATGTAGGATACTAGGGGTGTAAAATAAAAATTCTCTTTTTCTTTTATTAACAGCCAGGTAATGATACTTCCAATGCCATATTACATAATGGAAGAAGGAAATAAATCCTACTACAAACTGTGGATCTTATCTCTTACTAACCTAAAGGAAAAATTTAAATTTTATTCATGAACTTAACTAAATTACAAGTAGAATTATAAGTCAAATAGGAATCCTAATACACATAGAAATCCTAATACGAATAGAAATCAAGCACAATAAACTGAGAATTAAGGCTGGAAACAAACCAGGAAACTAGGAAGACTTATCTGAACTTTGCCTAGGGTCACCCTCGTAGAACTCAACACAATCCACACCTTAGACTGATGGTGAACCGATCCTTGGTTGTGCTTGAGTCCTCAAAATCTGGGAAGCAACTGTGACAATACACTCTATCATAATAGTTGAGGCTAAGAGCATGAACTCTAACACAATTGGGGTTTCTTTTCAACCCTTAAACTTTGGGCATCCCAAAATGTTCAAACTTTGGGCATGTCCAAATCTAAGCTCTCCATCCTTTAGATCAACCATCATGATCAAGGAGGAATTCTAGAACCATTATTTCTCATATCCTTGACCCATATTCGCTTCTATTCAAACTAGGTTGCGCCTTCTAGAATCCAACACAATTAGTACTCTTTCTCACATAGAAAACACTTCAAATTTAATTAAAAATCTGAAGTCAAAGTAGAAGGTCCAATTTGGTCAAAATCCATAAACAAACAAGAATATCTTTTTAAAGATTACCATAACTTGGTCCATTACAAATTAAGAAATCTAGTCTAGGATGTGTGGGACGTGTGGACCCCATGTCCCACATGTATGTGGGGGCTAGGCCCTTGGCCCCCTACCCAGGTGCCACAATGCCCCCTTGTAATTTTGGAAATTTCAAAATATGCCCTTTGAGGGTTTTAAAGCATTAAAATAAATTTAAAAAATACTTAAAATATTTAAAATTCACAAGGGCATAATTAAAGTCGAAAAATAGTATTTTTGGGTTTCCAAAAATTTCAAATCACCTTTTTTATTAAAAAAAGAAAAACTAGTAGTAATTGGTACCAATGGGTTATGCCAAAATCCATGATCCACAATCTTCTTCTCAAACCAACCCACGAGACACATGACCCATAATCAATCACATGGGTTCATGATTGGCCTGTCAAAGCTGGCCAATAAATGGCAGGACCACGAGTAGGTGCTTCAGGTTCCCCTTAACAGCGAGTCATATCCATAAGGATGCACATGCACATATCACTATAATGCAAGGGGATACTATCTTGAACAAATATACACTGTGCCCCTGTATAGGTTGCTTCCTAGTATGCGGCTGTCACGTGTACATGCTTTGCGGTGGTTTGTTGAGGATTTGGCCCTTCCCTCATAGGCCCGCAACCGTAAACAAGAATCCTAGTAGCTTCTTAGCTCTTGTTATTATCCCTGCGCAACTCTCTAGCCTCAATAAGGGATGACCTACTGAAGCGCTCAATGATTGTGCCTATGACCAAGGATAAGGGTTTTGGACATGACTTGGGCCATAGATCGTCCAACCCAAGGTCAATCAACTGACACTCCCACTGGAGCGTGAGCATCCTCTGTAAATTATTTATTTTTATGTGCTCTAAAGGCCTTTAAAGGCCACAAACCCCAACACTGTACTTGCCCCATTGGTTCATGAACGAATCGGGCATGATGAACTGCTCTCGAAGTTTCCAACGCTGGTCCACCCCTTGTGCTCACCCCTAGCCTCTAGCTGTTGAGGCTTGGGTTGCGTATCTCTGGGCTGTGATTGGGTGGCCCCAATATCATCTTCTCTCCCATCTCCCTCCGTATCCTTCCCATCCCCCTCAACAGGACCTCCTCCATTTCTTACGAATTGCTGTACTAACGGGTCACCTCCTCCTTCCTGTTCCTTTGCACCTTCTTCATCATCTTCCTCATTTATTGCCTCAAGGAAGCTCTCTTATGTAGCACTAGCTTCTTCTCCGCCACCAATGACTCCTTTGCTCTATTCACGACAAATATTGCATCAAATTGTAATGACATATACTATGAGGTTAGCAAATTCCTTTTAGGAGTGTGTAGCAATTGAAATGTACTCCAATTTTGCTTCCACCTAGTGGTAGAGCTTGTATAAGAAAACACCTTAATTGCTATCTAAGCGAGGTGCGTCAACTTGGATCCATCTCAATGTAAGAAGCCATAGTAAGTTAAGTTGTAAACGAGCCTTCGGCCTCCCTATAATATAAAGTTGAGAACAAGGGTATATTTTAATGCTTTCATTGAACCTTACAAATGCATTAAGTCTAGCAATTTCTTATATTGAAGCTTAACTCTTACCATGTGGAGGCCTTTTTCCTTGACCCTAAACTTCTCAATCAGTTGCCTAAGTAGGAAAATAACTTCAATTGTTGACTTTCCTGGCATAAAATCAAAGTGATTTTCAGATATAGTCATTTGATGCCTTAGTCGTTGCTCAATCTCTCTCTCCAAGAGCTTCATAGTATTGCTCATAAAATTGATCTCTCGATAGTTCACACAATTTTGTATGTCTCCTTTGTTCTTGTAAATAGGTACCATAATGTTTTTCCTCCATTCGTTTGACATTTTCTTTGTCCTCAACACCTTGTTGAACAACTTCGTTAGCCAATCAATGCCAATCTCCCCCATGCACCTCCAAACCTCTATCAAGATACCATTTGGTCCTAAAGCCTTTCCTATCTTCATCATTTTCAAAGCTTCTTTCACTAAACGATTTATGTGGTCAATAAATTTAAAAGAAAAAAAAAATACAAAAAATATAACAATTTATAGAATAAAGATGGATATGATTTATGTGATAGTAGGTAATTTAAATTCTTCATTATCTCAAATATTTTGGCTGTGTGAGATTTTGAGTCCCCTAATAGCCTGATAAAAAGTAATAGAGTTGTCGTCCTAACGCCTAATTTTTAGTAGGTTATATGTTTAAATACGATTAACGTGTAAAACAAGGCAATCTATTCCATCATCATATAACATATCCAAAATTCCAAACTTCACATAAATATCCAAAATTCCCAATTTTACAGTTGAACTCCAAAGAGGCAATAACCAAAGTTTATGAAGGCATTATTAGAAGATAATCAACTCTTAATCAAACAATTCATATGATGATTCTTTATATACATGTGCATCCCGCATTTGAAGTTGAGGATGTAGAGGCATCATCATCACTACCATCGGCCTCCTTCACTTATACTTTGTCTTCCTCAGTCTCCTTTGGGTCCGCCTCCTCCTTGTTGACCTCTAGAACTGATGTACAACTTGACCCACCTTTATTCCTTTGCGTTCTAGTGCTAGGCCCAACTGGCATATCTTAATTCTTCTTTAAGAACTTTGGATTCAAGAAAATAATCCAAAGATGTTTTTTTTTTTTGCTTTTGGTTTTTAATCACCTAACAACCACCAAAAGTGGTTCTGATGGGTTTTTGGGAGCGTGGGAGTTGCCCATGCCCATGGGCGAACTTTTTTGCCATCAGCATGGGTCGTATATGCAGGTGTATAGATCATTATGTTATGCACCCGCATATGCAGGTAATGTGTCACATATACAAGCACATCCTTTCATATGTGGCCGTATAATGCAATATGGGTTATGACGTTGCATTTTAAAACTATGATGACTTCTCATCAATCTTTCAATGCAATATCTCATTGCGTCCATGACCCTTTTGGGAATAATAGGCACCGAAAGAAATATTTGGGGTGGAAAGAGAAACTTACACAACACGAAGAAGGAGAGACCATTACCTTCACAACGATGAAATATTTAAATGTTTAAGCTTCAAAACATATAAATAAGTTATTGCTCGCAAAATGAATTGGTTTGCCCAGCTAATCGGTCCACCTCTCAACAATCTCCTCCACTTTGGTCGCAAAACTACACCGCTCTCGGATAGCTGCCTTCGCTCTCTCCATCCTTTTAGAGAGGATCCCCATGGTGGATTTCTTGTCAACATCCATCTTCCTTAACAATGTCACTAAAGGAGCTGTGGCCGCCATAACGCTGGAACGCTTAGACCAGAACCTATGATTAGTGACTATGCCATGCAATTCATCCCCTTATGGGACCCTGAGAGGCGGTCTTTTTCACTCTCTTTGAAAGGAAACATCTTCAGCATGGCTTGCAATTGTATAATGGAGTCCACGCCAAGTAGTTTATGACATAGTAAGTGATGGCAGACCTGATTACCTTCTTATTCCTAGTAGGTCATCACAATAGTTGAAGGATTGTGGCATGGTTATAGATGAATTTTGACACCGACCTCTCCCAACCTAGAGTCTCTTTCACAATCTTGATCTTCCCTATCTCCTGTAAATGAGATCAAAGCAGTGGGTAGCACATGGGGTCCAATATTAGATGGTCCTGCAGAAACACATGCCCTGACATTATCGATGCTAATCTGGACTACATGTTTCTCTCCCACCTCCTCAAAGTTTCTAGTCCATTGCTTTTTGCCATGAGCTTCTATTCCTTTTTTATCCTGAGGATGAAGGCCCTCATAGCATACAAGCTCGGTGGCCCAATCCTAGGTGAGATACTGCATTGGAAGATTGAAGAGAACTCATAGGAGCCAAGTACAGGCACTAAGGGAGGTAAGAGTTAACCTTTGATGTAGGAATTTTCTAGACTTGATGTATTTGTGAGTTTAATTAAAGCACTAAAACATGTTCTTTCTTTGCTTTATATTTATATCGTTGCAGAAAGCTCGTTTGCAACTAGACTTGCTAGCGCTTCTCGCACTGAGATGGATTTAGGTTATCGGTTAACTAATTATGTGTCATTTCATATCCTTCACATTATGAATTTTTTTTGACCCATCCATACAAGGCCCTTTGCATTTTATTTCAGCTAAACAATGGGAGTTATATGGTTTTGACACACCTCACATAAGGAAGATAACAATTAAGATGCCTCCTTAGACATGTCTAGCTACTTAGTGTGATCGAAACCGGAGTACGTTCCAGTGGTTACACACTCCTAAGAGGAAAGCGAAACTGGAGTGCATTCCAGTGGTTACACACTCCTAAGAGGAACTTGCTTCAAAAGCTCGTATATGTTCCTTACAAATTGAATATCCAAGAGCGACAAGTAAGTAGGAAAATGAAGGATAAGCGGAGCAACCAATGCTATGTAAGAGAGCATTGTTTGAGGCAATAAGTGAGAAAGATGACGAAGAAAGTTTGGACATGCAAGGAGGTGGTGACCCATTAGTATTTGAGCAATTCATAGGAGATATAGGTAGTCATTTACCTGTTGAGGGAGAGGAAGGAGGAGATGAGTTGTGGTGGGGAGATGGGAGAGAGATGATTTTGAGGCCACCCAGTCCTAGCCAAGCGATATGCAGCCCGAGCTTCAGCAATCAGAGGTTGCGGGTGAGCACGAAGGTGTTGGATATGATGATATCCAAAATCACCCACATAAGGAAAATCCCATAGCATGTGGGATTGGGATTGACATTGATGTTTCTTAAAGAAATCCAAAAAGATTAGGACTCTTGTCTATATCTCTTAGTTTTGAGATATATGTAATATTGATAGAAGGTTTCCTATTTAGTATGGATTCCTAACCTTGTATATATGGGATGAAAGATGAAAGATGAAAGAATATGTGTGCCTTATTTGGGTCACCATATGGGAATGTGACTTCCTCTAGAGAGAGAGGGGTAGGGCCCTCCTGTGCATGAGAGGCAAGGCCTCCCCTTAGAGAGAAGAGAGCTTTCTATGGGGAGAAACATTGCAATGATGCCTCATGTAGATTGAGAGACTAATTTCTTGTAGAGAAGTGGTTCCCATGGAGATTTTGGGTGGTTTCCCTTTTTAGCTAGAGAAAGTCTCAGTTGTTCTTAAGAATGTTTTCTTGGACAGTGGTCTAATTATGGAATAGAGATGAGACAGATTGGCAGTGGTGCCAGTCGGGAGAGTAGGTCTAAAAGGGGTTTGTTTGATTAGGTTTTGTCAAGGGTTAGAGAGGTAACTTTATGTCCCAAAATTTATGATGCAACTTTCATTAGTATAGTGGATTTCAGTTTGCCGTGCCCGTGGATGTAGTCACATATGTGATGAGCAGCATAAGTTTTGGTGTTCTTTTTTTGTTATTTCTTTCTTGCTTTATTTTTCTTATTTGTTAGTTGTTTTGTTTTTCTCGTACTTTATTTGTCAAAAATCAACCCGAGTCGGGTTTAAAGCTTCCACGTACAACAAGTGGAATCAGAGCCTGGTTTGGGGTTGTTGGTATGGCGGTCAAGGTTTCTAATGCAAGGTTTGAGGTGGAGAAATTTGATGGCAAACGCTATTTTTCAGCAAGAATGATGAAGACATTTATTTGGCAAAAGATAAGAATTTATAAAGCAATCCAATGGATGTTGGCATGGTTAGCAAGTGATTTTGATATCAAGGTGGAGATTGTTGGATATGATTATCCAAAATCACTCGCATAAGGAAAATAATTATGTGGGATTGGGATTAATATTAATAAGTTTCCTAAATGAAAGAAAAATCCAAAAAAATTAGGACTTTTGGGTATATCTCTTGGTTTTGGGATATATATAATATCTATGAGAAGTTTCCTATTTAGCTTGGATTTCTAACCTTATTTACATGGGATGAAAAATGAAAGAATATGTGTGCCCTATTTGGGTCACTATATGGGAAAAGTGGCTTCCTCTAGAGAGACGGGGGTAGGGGCCTCTCCTTAGAGAGAAGAGAGCTTCCTACGGAGAGAAATATTATGACGGTTCCTCCTATAGATTGAGAAACATTGCGATGGCTTCTCGTAGAGAACTGGTTCCCATGGAGATTTTGGGTGGTTTCCCCTTTTAATTAGAGAAAGTCTCGGTTGCTCTCAAGATTCTCTTTCTAGATTGTGGTCTAGTTATGGAATAGTGATGGCAGAATGGCAGTCGTGCTGGTCGGGAAAGCAGGTCTAAAAGTGATTTGCTCAACTAGGTTTTGTCGAGGGTTTGAGAGGTAACTCTATATCTCAAAATCGATGATGTAACTTTCAATTATATAGTGGATTTCAGTTGCTATACCTGTGAATGTAGTCAGATATGTGATGAACCATGTAAATTCTGTTGTTGCTTTTTCTATCATTTCTTTCCTGCTTTATTTTCTTACTTGTTGCATGTTCTATTTTTCTCATACTTTAGTTGTCAAAAATCAACTCGTCGGGTTCAGAGCTTACACGCATAACAGGTCGTTGTATTAACCTTGGGGATTTCGGGCTAAAAGGGCGGTTTACCATCCATGATTCGTTCATGAACTGTTGAGGAAGGTGTAGTCATTGAGATACTAACGAGTTTGAACCCCGAAACTTGTACATCAATCAGCTCAATGATTTTTCCCGACAATTCAACGAGTGGAATTCAACATTCAAATGACAATGAAGCAACTTGTCATTCGTTTTGTATTTAAGTTGTTTCTTGATAATTATGTGCTCCATTTGGGACTATATATTCATATTCTTGATAATTATATACTCTATTTTGACTGTGAAATGAATATAATGGTCAACAGATACAAACATGAAACAACTCTCAAGTTTCATTTACTTTTAGAAATAATGAAAAGTCATAACTCAATACCCTCGTTTTTTTTTGAAACCCATAAAACAACATCTATATACCATTTTTTTCAATCATTTGTATAATGAACTTGGAGTGCATTAGAGCACTCGGTTTCGAAATATATGACCCTATTGCAGATATAGATACTGATATTTGTGTTATCCAGGTAAACTCAGCTGATAAAATTCTTGAACTCTTAAATTTGGGAAATAGCCGGCGCAAAACAGAGAGCACAGAGGCAAATGCCACATCTTCACGGTAGGTTGCCCATGGACATGACATGGGAATGGATTTTGTTATCATTTTTATGTGGATCCCAAATATATGGACTTGTATCGTAATTAGGCAGCTGAACACTTATGTTCTGAAGGTGCTTCTGATTGCCACCTTCAGGTTGGGGTTTCAAACCTGACTTGCCGATCACACCCTCCCCCAGATATTCTTCTACCATGTTTCTGACTTGACAATGTATGTTTTAATTTCACGCTTAATGGTTAGTTCCCATTTCAACTGATCCAAATGTCTTGGGACATGGGTCATACATACATTGGTCTTTCGAACATGTCTTGAGAAGTTGCTAATTTCTCATGAAATTTTTGTCCTTGGCCCAAACCATGATAGGCTTAGCAACTGATGCTCACAGTTGATCTTTGTTGATTTGTTTATGGTAGTCTTGCATTGAAGTTAAAGTCATGGAACCAATCAAATAAAGAAGTTTCAGGTCATGCTACCTTGATTTTGGCTTGATTAAATAGGCCAAAATTTAGCGAATTTTGTCCAAAACATTTGTAAATGGTGTTTTCGCCAGAACTTGTACTGAAATTTGAAATTTCTGGACGCAATGTTTTGACCTTAGCAAGCACTCCCATGGAGATTGTGGATGTTTGTTTGTTTATAGTTCTGATGATTTTCCTTCTATGTCGACAACAGTTCACATGCCGTGCTAGAGATCATCGTCAAACGAAGTCAGAGAAATAAGTACTGTAGTCAAGTTGTAAGGGGAAAACTTGCCCTAGTTGATCTTGCTGGCAGGTAGGCCCTTCTTTGAAAGAGAACAATTGGCAATTTTATGTCCCGATCATCTTCTCAACACCTCCCTGTCCAGTGCTTCTCTACTAGTAATTAACTTTCAACTGCATTTCAGTGAAACAGCTTAATTTCCTTGAGAATATCTACTGGTTTCTAATATATTTTCTCTCTCTCATCTTCTCTGTGCCCAAGTGCTCTTCTATTAATAAGATTTTATCATTCATTAAAAAACACAGTGAAAGGGCTTCTGAGACAAATAGCGGAGGACAGAAGCTTAGAGATGGGGCTAATATCAACCGTTCGCTTCTTGCATTGGCCAACTGTATCAATGCTCTTGGGAAACATCAAAAGAAAGGCCTTGCATATGTGCCTTACAGAAACAGGTGAACAACTTGTTATTTTTGTTACGTATGTCTTGATGCAGATGGATGCTTATTTAAAGAAAAAAAATAGCCACCCTTAAAAGTGAAATTACCCTAAAATGCAAAGACCAGTGCAAAAGCTATAGTTTATTGGGTCATAAACATCTCTGATGAAATGATGAACGGTAAAGTAGAGATAGAGTGGGACCCACCATCAGGGTTGTGTACAACAAGATGGGTCCCATTCTTCATCATTGTTCATCAATTTTCATTGGATGGTGATGACCCCAATGGCCTGGTCCTTCCATAACCATTGGCTTATATGATAATTTTCCAAAAAAGAAAAAGCCTTGAAGTAAATGAAGAATAGCTGATACTTTAAGTTTATTGCAGCAAGCTAACACGTATACTAAAGGATGGTCTGAGTGGTAATTCTCGCACAGTCATGGTTGCCACTGTATCTCCTGCAGATGACCAATATCACCACACCATTAATACGCTCAAGTATGCAGATCGAGCGAAGGAGATAAAGACCCACATTCAGGTATCAGTCCGCCACATGGAATGAGTGATGATTCTCTGAACAGCTCTTGTTTTTTATAACTAATACTTAGAAGATTTCGGTATGTTTTTTCTTTTATTTATGTTTGGAAAAACCTCTGAATAGCTGGAAATGATAGTGAGTCCACGATTTTGTTGTGAATGCCTATGAGAACCTTCAACTTTAAAAACTTGACAAAGATATACATTTCAGCTGTTCCTTGAAGTATTATGAATATTAGTAAAAGAACTTTAAGTAACATAGATGCGGACATGTATGTCCATTTCTGGAACAGGTATGTGAATTGGAAACTTGAATTCTGAAAAAGCACGTTTGGACCCAAAATGTCTGTGCCATTATGTGAAAGCCAGTTGCATTTTATGTATTTTTCCGAAATTCATTATTGGTATATGTCCTCTGGAACTTTGAACATATAGATTGGGTTCATGCTTTTCAGAAAGTAGCCCTTCTTTCATAGTTTTACTTGTAGATATGCTTATTTTTCAGAATTCAGTAAAGAAAAGCAGGCACTTATTTTTAGCATTACTTTAGAGAGGAGCCTTTTGGAAATGTTTGTGGGCAATTAAGGTTCATGGTCCAACTTGTATTGTTTCTACATTTTGAAATGTGTGTATGTGTCCGTGGTGTTTTCATATGTGGTTAATCCCTAAACTTACATTTCTATGTTTCCTAAGATTAAACATAATGGCATGGAATTGTGGCCTTTGTAGTAATAGTCAAAAACCAAGATTTCGATGGTGATTTGATTGAGGCACCTTTGGAGAACTAGTATTTTCAACGGTGTAGTAGTTTTGCAAAAGACGGATTTATTATTGAAGTGTAATTTTGTGAATATCAAATAAGTCGTTTCCCTCGTGGATTAAAAACAAGTTTATTCTATAGAGACACTGCATCCATGGCCACGGCTGGGAGCCTAGGTTTTTAAGCTTATTTGGTCCCAAGCATGATTGGGTTTTTTTTTTGATATATACATTGTTGATTAACTGTGCAGCAATACATGTCAAATTGTGTATAGATTTTGCCAGTAGGCCTCTGCAAAGTCATTGTAGATTTCAGTCCAAGTTCAAACCAAAATTTGATCTATAGGGAAGTAAACAATGCATAGTACATAGAGAAAGTAAATGGCTATGATTTTAAGAATGCAAACTATTATGTGATAGATTTTGGAAGGATTTCAAATATATTGGTTTTTTCATGGGGAGAAATAAAAATGGCTTTGTGTTGTCCAATTCTGGGGGCAACACACCCGTTCTAAAATTCTAAGTGAAACTCTTTCCTTGTTGAAGGACTCACCCAGCCTTAATATTCACTTTGACTTAAAACTCTTGAAAGTCTTCCTTTTCTCCCCTCTTCTTTCAAGTCTGTGATGCTTCTATTCTCCTGTTATTCATATTTTCTTCAATTTGTGTTTTCGAAGTTGTAGATTTTCACATATTTTCTTGTTTAATGCCCCATTAAAATGTCTGACATCACATGACTTTCAGAAAAACATCGGGACGATTGATACTCATGTTGCAGATTACCAACGGATGATTGACACTCTTCAGGTTTGTGTCGTGCTAATAAAAAGTTTTTCTTTCTTTACAATTTGGTGAACTGTTCTGTTATGTTGATAATTAATAATCTTTTTCTTCACTGAGTATCCTTACAATCCTTTGTGCAGGTTGAGGTTTCCCAGCTAAAAAAAGAATTAGCCGAAAAGGAAACACAGCTGAGTACTAAACCTGTTGAAAAGGCAGCAGATGATGAGCTCTCATGGTTGAATGTTTTAAGCCATGAAACTAGTGAAAATGTTCAGGAACGCATAAACTTGCAGAAGGCACTATTCGAACTTGAGGAAATGAATCTAAGAAACCGCTTCGAGCTGCAACATCTAGATGATGCTATTGCCAAACGACAGGTCTATAACCCAGTTTTATGTCTGGATATATATTTGTATGTGGATGTAAATTCGTGTCTGGATAAATTCAGTTGGGATTATGGAACGCAGCGAAACCCATTAAGCTATTTGGTAAAGGAAAGCAATCTGTAATTCAATGCTGTAGTCCCTTGGAGCCATTGACATTCAATGCAATGATGGGCAGTGATGGAGAGAGGTGGGACCTACTGGTACAGGAGATGATTCCATTTGTGGGTCCCACTCGTTTCATTACCATCCACAATTTCATTGGGCGGTGTAGTTTTGCATAATCCATTGGCTTATGGTATGGTTTCCCTTGATTATATATTTGGTGATACCGCCCTCTTACCAAGTTTTTTTGATCCTTAGGCCACCGAAAAGGATGGAACTGTTGTTCAAGCATTGAGGTCAAGGAGACAAGTTATTCTTGACAACATTCGTGACAATGATGAGGCTGGTGCTGATTATCAGAAGGTTCTTGTTTGAAATCCAGTCTTTTTGGTTTTCCGTTCTTATGGGCAATCTTTTGCATCTTGTTTTTTCCCACTTTATTTTTTTTATTTTTATTTTTTTCATGAATACTTAATTTAGCTTCCTTCTGTTACTATAGGAAGTTGAAGTGAATGAGAAACACCGACGTCATCTCCAAGATATGATCGAAGAAGCCATTCGTAATAATGGGAACAAAACATACTTGCATATTCTGAGCCAATACAGGCTATTGGTAAGAACTAAAAGTTCCCACCCATACCCTTAAGGGAAGCCTTTTCCTTTTGAGATGTATTTCTCTATCAGTTCTTGAAATTTGTCCAAAAGATCTTGAGAGAGGTTCATCTATGAGATTTTGTGTGTGTGTATGTGCACGCACGTGAGTGTCTCTGTGTGTGTGCATGTGTGTGTCAATGAGCCTTGCTAGATCCTGATTCCTTCTCCCAACGGGACTATTTATTGGAAAGATCTACTGCTGATATGCATTCAAAAAACAAACCTACGGCAACAACTTCCACTGATCTTGTGGACATCTCTGCCTGCCTGCTTATTACCTGTCTTTTACATTTCTTGAAAGCATAAGTTTTGATTGTTACTTCTTCAAATCAATCGCAACATCTTTATGTACCTAATGATTGCTGATCTCTCTTTAATTTTTTTTTTCGCTCAGGGAATGGCTAATACTGAACTCCAGTTCGAGATGGCAATTCGTGATCAAAGAATATATAACCAAAGGGAAGCACAAAGGAACTTATGGAACTTGCTCATGGGTTCTGGCCTTGATCGTAAGCAGATAATGGACCTCGCGACCAAGCAGGGAATCACAATAGAAGATTGGTCCACCCCACCTGGTGGGCTCCACAAAAATTCTCCATCAAGGATGAGAAGCCTGTTTTCCCCATCAATGCATATTCCAACCAGTCCTATTCGTTGTGGAGGTGCTCCTTATTATGGTTCAGGGGCTCCTGTGCAACACCACCAAGAGTATTGTTCAGCTGCTTGCTTCAAGGGGCAATGGGATTCCCTCTCTCATACATTGTGTAGGCAGGAAGAGCACCGAAGCTCTATTTATCTCTTGGCTCATGATCACTCTCCATCAGCTTATCTGGGATTGAGGAGTGAGCATTGGACTACCAGAAATCTCCCAACATGTTTCTGTACTCCAGAGGCAGGGAGCAAGTCATACCCTTGGAATGCAGAAAGTCGACGGTCATCAACTGGATCTTCTTGTCTTGAAGGTTATGGGCAAATGCAAGAGGTAGGTTGCTTTTGTCGGCTTCTTGTTATTGGTTGTGTTGCATTCTTTTTGTGGCACTATCACTGTAAAGAGTAGGTAGCTTTACATTTTTTTTGGTGATTGACATAAATTTCCTTGGCAAATTGGTTTAAAAGAACTGGGCTATTAACCCTTTACAGCTTATTATTATTCTTTATTAGTAAAATGATCATGTAGGAGGTCCCTTGTATTTGGTCATGTAAGATTTCCCTTCCCGACCCATGGATTAGGCGCTTAGTGGATGACAGAATGGTGGTTACTAGTATTGGGAGAGTATTGGGGTTAAGTCCCCATGAATTCTCATATCAAACTATTGGGTGGGAACTCCCATACGAGTTGCTAATACAAGAGACCTCCTACATGATCATTTCCCTGATTATAGTACCACTAGTTCGTCCTTATTAACCTTTCCTGAATGATTGCTCTAGCAGTAGTTCAATGTATAAGCACTTGAAGTTTGTCTTGGACTTGCTGAATAGATGAAACCAATTCTTGAAATTTGTAATCTGTTGATGCAAAGAATTGGCCTAAATGCTATTTGAGTTGGACAGACCCTTTCCAGTTTAACCTTTTCTGAATGATTGCCCTAGTAGTTCAATGTATAAGCACTTGAAGTTTGTCTTGGACTTGCTGAATAGATAAAACCAATTCTTGAAATTTGTAATCTGTTGACGCAAAGAATTGGTCTAAGGGCCATTTGTGCCATTTGAGTCACTAAATTGGACAGACCTTCTCCAGTGTAGCCAATCCCAAATGCTCCACCTATAGCATTTTTTCTTCTTAATATGACAAATTATCTGTAGGATGTTCATCTATTCTGCTCAAGGTATAAATGAAAAATCATATACATGCATTAATGAATACATTTGTATAGATACATTCACATACGTGTGCACATAATTGTGTATGTACTCTGAATTCAGTAGACAAAGCATGCATACATAATACACATTTCATATGCACACAGGCATGCATGTCTTAGTGGATACATATCTCAAGTTCCTTGAAATCGTACTAATGAATGAATATGCTCACTATGCATAAGTTTTGAATTGATGCATGACTCTCTCTCTCTCTCTCTCTCTCTCTCTCTCTCTCTCTCTCTCTTCTCTTCTCTTCTTACTTCTTACGTTACTTACGTTACTTAACGTTTACTTACGTTAACTTACGTACGTTAAC